GCTATCTGAAAAGCAGTCAGTGAAGCTCCTAAACACCAAACCAATCATGCGCTTTGACTTGAAGAAAAAAAAAAAAAGCAAATAAGTTAAAACATATATACTTATGAGTATCATCGGCATAAAAAAAATTTATATATATATATATATATATATATATATATATATATATATATATATATATATATATATATATATATATATATATATATATATATATATATATTACAAAACAAACAAAACATGATGCAGAATTCTTATGGAAGAAAAAAAAAAAAAAAGACCAGGTGGTCAAAGAAAGTAGGGCGCCCCCTAGTTAATTGCCATTGAAGTATGTGTAAATTAAAATTTAACTTTTAATTATATTATTCCATAAAAATTATCTGAGACAAAAATGGTTAAAACCAATGTGGATAGGTTAGGATAACCCTGAGTGGGATATACAATTTAAATCAATAAATCCCCTCCAAACCAGCCCTTAGGAGTGGGTAAACGGGAAATACAAAAATTAGAAGAAAATCCCACTTGGGTATAAATAATAGTTCCAATTGAATAGTCACTTGTAGAAATCTTATTAAACAGATAATTATATACAAATAGGTATCTCTCCTAGTTGGAGTATCTCCCTTCTGAACAACTGCTTAGAGGAATTTCCTGCAGTATAACAAAATAGTAGCAGTCTTATATTATATGTGCAGGGGGAAGGATTGTACCTATAAGGTTTACAAGGGTCTATCACAGAGTAGCTAAATCGCTCGGATACAATTAGAGTCAGCGATCTATTGATACACAGTATATGTTGCCTTGTCAGCTATCAACAAATTTGAACCTCAGAGTGGAGTGGCGTAGTGCTCAGAGAAGAAAACTAGTCTCTCCCTGAACACATGGATTACTATCCCTATGATAGCGTCTACCCCGAATGCGCCAAACCCTCCACCCAATGCCAGGAAACGATAGTAACAAACTGACTATCTAAAAGGTCTATTGACTCGAGCGTGATCTCCTATCCAGATTACACATACTTCAATGGCAATTAACTAGGGAGCGCCCTACTTTCTTTGACCACCTGGTCTTTTTTTTCTTTTTTAGTCACACATTAAAGTGAGGGTTATCCCCTATCTTGGACGCCCCAGATACACACCTAACTGGTTCCCCTAGGGGTATCTAGTTTTGTTCTTTTTTCAGAATTCTTATGGATACAAAACGACGCAACCTTATACAATCACTTCTAAAACAAAACCATTGTGTTTTAGAAGTAATTATATTTAATAATGTATCGGTGGACCTGTGTGCAATGTGTGTATATTACATAGAAGATGTAATATAATGTGGTTTAAGATTACATTTATGGTTACAATTTTGGACATTATGTGTGTATATTTATAAGGTGCGATATCAAGTTCTTTTAGACTTAATCGAGCTGTAGTAATATAAGCAGTGAAAGAGAGGTAGGACAATTACGAGAGAGAGAGAAGCACACATGATCGGCTCTTATCAAGTCTGGAGCTTTTACATAATATAATGCATTTAGTGAGTTTACTTTGCTGTGAACTCACATGGATTTTTTTTTAAAGTACTTGTTTATATGAATAAAATAAGAGTGGTATATAGTTCTGTCCTTTTTTGCTTCCTCTCCTTTATCGACTGGAGCCATTGTGGGTTTTGTCCCCCTCAAGTTTGTTTTATACTGAGCCGGGCAGATGTGGCTCTGCTTTATGAGAGTGCTGTCCAAAAGCAGAACATTTTTGGGGGATGTGGACAAAGGCTGAATTGACATTCTGCATTAAATAGCTGTTTTAATAGTGTCTTCACAGGATTACAATGTTTTTAAGGTGAAGGTACAAATTATGCACAAGTATATGTTTTAGCACATCACTGGTTTGGCTAGGAATAGTTTGCTTTATGAAGTATGAAGCGATGTTATAATAAGCACTTACATTATTAAGCACTTTATTGGTAATTTAAGCGCCTTGTGTTTTTTTTATTTTAAAAACAGCTTACCTTATACTTACTGAGTCCTATTCCATAGTCTCCTATTTTTACGGTTAAATCTGATGTAACAAAGCAGTTTCGTAAGGCTAGATCACTGAAAAATAAACAGAAGCATTGTGGATTATAGACAAAAAGAGGGAAAAAAAGCTCTTACAAAAAGTGAAACAAACAAAACACTAAGACACAGCAGTAGAGATATGAAATGTGGAATACACTTGTAACAGTGGCTATTAAGGAATACTATAGACATCAAACTATATTTACTTAATGCAGCTGTTTTAGTGTATATATCATGCCTCTGAAGTCTCATTGCTCAATTCTCTGCCATTGAGGAGTTAAATGACTTGTTTCTGTTTATGCAGCTCTACCCACAATAGGGGTGACTAGGGCTATATAAACTAAGTACTTAAACTTTAAAATGACTAAATGGAGGATTGAGACTACAAGGACATGATCTATACACCAAAACTGCTTCATTAGGTTCATTACGTTTTTTGTGGAGCCGATAACATTTAACTCCTGTGGGTAAGAAGCCAACAGTGGTTCACTTTGCTGTTTCAGTGTGTCCTCAATGACTGCAATAGGCACAACAGATTCACCCCTACTTCCCACAGTGCAAGTTACTGGCAGAATTTATGTCAGCATTTTTTATATTAAAGATACATAGTCACCTAAACAACTTTAGCTTAATGAAGCAGTTTTAGTGTATAGATCATACTTTTCAGTTGTCAATGCACTGCCATTTAGGAGTTAAATTACTTTATTTCTGTTAATGCAGCCCTTGTCACACCTCCCCTGGCTCTGATTTACACAGACTGCATGAAAAAAAAAAAAACTGGTTTCACTTTCAGATATAATTTACCTGAAGCAATTCTCTCTCTTTCACTGTAAATTGAACTTTAATGGACCACTATAGGCACCCAGACCACTTCAGCTCAATGAAGTGGTCTGGGTGCCAGGTCCAGCTAGGGTTAACCCTGCCTGCTGTAAACATAGTTTCAGAGAAACATTAGAATTCAGAAAAACTGCTATGTTTACATATGGGTTAATCCATAGAGGCGCTTCTCCCTGATTTTCACAGTGAGAAGACGCCAGCGTCCATAGAAAAACATATGGGCTGACAATGCGCGCGCGGCTCTTGCCGCGCATGCGCATTCAGCTGATGACGTCCAAAGGAGGAGGAGAGTCCCCAGCGCCAAGGGAGCCCAGCTCTGGAGAAAGTTAAGTGTTTAACCCCTTCCTCCAACTTCAGCCCAGCGGGAGGGGGGGCCATGAGGGTGGGGGCACCCTCAGGGCACTATAGTGCCAGGAAAACTAGTTTTTTTTTTTTCCCTGACACTACAGTGGTCCTTTAATCACATACAGGAGGCTCTTGCAGGGTTTAGCAAGCTATTAACATAGCAGGGGACACAAAAATCTAAATTAAACAGAACTTGCAATAAAGAAAGAATAAACTTTGGATGACGCTTTACAGTAAGTGTTTAGGAAGGCTGTGCAAGTCACATGCAGGGAGGTGTGACTAGAGTTCATAAAGAACATGATTTAACTCCTAAATGGCAGAGAATTGAGCAGTGAGACTGCAGGATCATGACCTATACACAAAACGGTTTAACCCCTTAAGGACACATGACATGTGTGACATGTCATGATTCCATTTTATTCCAGAAGTTTGGTCCTTAAGGGGTTAATTAAGCCGTTGTTTTGGTGACTATAGTGTCCCTTTAAAAACAGCCAGCAAGCAAGATAATTTTTGCACTTGATAATGGGGTCACCAAGCTAATGCCATGTTCAGAATTGTTAAAAAAAAAATTAAATAAAAACTCCTATTCCAAATTGTGTTTGCCTTCCAAAATTAGACAATGAGAGACACAAAGTTTAGGTAAAAACAAGAGTATATTTTCGTTTAGAGTTAATATTGTTAAAACAAATGTGCTCAAATTAAATTTGCACAAACTAGACATGTTAAACCTAAAGTACATAGAATGTTCAGCAGAGCATTCAGGAGTGATATTTAACTTTTCATACATTTCAAGAACATGTTTCAAAACAGACACAGGAAATTGCATCTTAAATTCCTTTTTGAGTGAAAAAAGTGACCTTATACATGCTTGATGGCAAGGGTTTAAACCTTTATTACAGACATGACAGTGAAAAACACAGAAGGTGTGTGACAGTTCGATGTCCAGTGTAATTTTTAATTGTTAATTAGTGTGTGTGTGTGTGTATATATATATATATATATATATATATATATATATATATATATATATATATATATATATATATATATATATATATATATACACACATACATACATACATACAAGAGTTTTCCTTGTTTGGCAGAGGTTTACGAGTAGGAGGGGCAAATGCTCAATAAGTCCTCCTGATGAAAGTCTGCTATTCCTTACTCCAGCCAAGTGGCAGGAGAGTCTAAAAATGAAGGGCTTCTTAGTCAGCAGGAATATTTATTTTCCGCTCCTATTCTAATGCAGCCTTTTCGCTTTTGGCAGGATAGGTTGCTTTTCAATTACAAAGAATAAACTTTTATTTTAATTTTAAACAAAGTATTTTCCTCTTGTTTCACTTAAAATCTAATGTGTACCTCATCATCCTTTAAAAAACAAACACTTAACTACATTTATGCACCTTGAAAAGAGGTTCAATATATTCTGCACATCATCATTTGAGACCTGCTATACATATTTTAAAAGTCACAATGGAAAACAATTGCAAGAAAACGTTTCATACCATGGATTTATGTATTTAAATTTGTAATATAAGACAAGAAATGCATTTTCACATATCCCGGGAAAAACATTACATGGCAATTTAAAAGTGATATTGGCAAAAATAAAATAAAATGACCTAATAAATAAATTGAACAATTGACATGAAATTATATATGAATATAAACAATAAAATAGAAAAGGTGTGATCTTCACAGCTATAACAATAAAAAGAAAGGACTGTAAAGTAATCCACAGGCTAGTGACTTGGCCGCTTTAATTTACTACTAACAACAAAATCACTGATGCTGGAGATTCGCCTCACACTCAGACAGCATCAGGATATTGTTGCCAGAAGCAAACATCTTGCATTTCCAGGTTGGAAAGGGAGATAGGTTGATAGATCTATACATATTTAAAAAAATAAATAAATAAAATAAAATTGGTTTGCTTCAAATTTTATAGTAGTTGAAGGACCTACAAAATAGTCAGAAGACAAGACCATTCTATGTGTGACCAGTAGACAAGAATATATTGCCATTTCGTTATAGGTGCAGTTTTCCTTTGACTGCTTTATGAAATCTCAGAATACAATAGACACTTGATGACATTATAGCTCAAGAATTAGTGATCTGCAAAGGGTTCTAAATTTCAATGCAACCAAGAAAGCACATGTTTAAAGTATACAAAAGTATGCATATGAACACGACTCACACAAGAGCAATATCTGTAGGTACACACACATCCAGTACCATGTGTATATTTAATCTTCATAACAACTGCCGTACAGAATGTTTAATGAAAGTGTACAAATAATAAGTGGATAATTAATATGCATCTGCTCATTTAATAGTGTTGTAGAAATAATTGAGGTGAAATCATAATGACCAACAGAGCCTGAAAATAATCAAAGATTACCAGACATATTTAGTGGCCACTATTTCATTTTCATTATCAACTCAGCCCATAAACTAAAAATAAAGGGTTAAACTTACCTGGAATCAAGCCAAGCAAAGTTCATAGTGCTGCCCTCCATGCCCTGACTGACATTTGCAGGGCCTGTTCGTGACCCAATCAAATGCTTCTCAGAGAAGCATTTGAGTGTACTGTTTGCCCATCTCAGAGCACATGCACATGCTCTGAGAAGGGGTAGGAGAGGAAGTGGGCGAAGGAAGGGTATTAAAAAAAATAAATAATCCAATTCAGCACTCTGGCAAATGATGGAAATTTTGACACCAAGGTGCAAATATCTCAGTTTGTGCATAATTTCAAGAAGAAATGCTGAACATATTGACTCTTACCACCATGACTACTTCTAAAAGCATTGTGGTGGTTGGAGTAACCATCTATCTATGTAAACCTGTTAATTGTGGCAACTCCCAGATAATGTTGCTGAATATATAAAAAAGGTTTTAGAAACGGTTATGTGCAAATATGGTTTTAGAACACTGTTTTTCAACATGAATTGCAATTGCATTCCTAATACCCATTATCTACACACCCTTATCCTAAATCAGAAGACAATCTAGTCAATGACAAACTGGCATACGCCTAAAAACGCCCACACAAGTAGGCATCAGTGACCCAGCCAACAGATAAATTTTAGTATAGCGTGCACAGGCCCAGCAAGCACACAATACCATAAAATAACTTTGGTAATCAGGTGGAAGCATAACTCTCTCCCTGTGACAACTGACAGAGGGAGATTCACACAAAGACATGAGACTTCCATGCACTGTAACCAATAGAAAGTACAAAGGCTACTATGGTACTTGAAGTCTCCATTAAGAAGAGACATAATACTTTAAGAACATAACAGATAACAGCAAACAATCATTTTAAAGTACTTTTTTTAAACAGATCAGTCATTCAAAAAATGTGGATCGCAAATTCAATATTTGGTAAACTGAAAACACGGTATTTAAAGCCAGTGCGCCAATATCTTAGGAGATGCTTTACATGTACATTCACTTCATGAACTCATTTGAAGTAAATACCAAGGTTCACAACTTTTTTGCAAATTTGATTAAAGGGAGGGATATAAATATTAACAAATATTATGGTTGCATATAAGTCAGATGTGTCAGAAGCAGGTGATTATTTTAGATTTCACCAATTTCATATGGAAAAAAGGAAAATTGCAGTTTTCCCTTTTAAATAACAATCAAATGAATTACAAAAAGATTTATGTAATTCAGAATGCATGTTAATAGATTGTTACATGTGTAAATCAAGCACATTTTGCTGTGATGGTCTGAAGCATCTGTCACTAGGCAATTTACTTACAAGAGTTGTGTAATTGGATAGCACCTTATCTTAGCACAAGGCTCGCCTGAGTTATGGATTCTCAGTTTCATAACAAGCATGCTGGTCACGCAATAAATGTTATTTAAGAATATTCTTAGTTCACTACAGTCAGACCATGTGAAAGAACAAAGAAGGGCCACCCATCCTACTACCACATTAGAAATATCAATTCCATCCAAATTTGGACAGTATTAGTCGAGTCCATCAGCAGGGTATCACCAATATCAAGTAAAAATTCTCATTGGTTTTATGGTATCTGATGACAATCTAAACAGTTACTACTGAAAAATATAAAAACAAATTACTGTTTCTCTGGTTTCTAAGTTTGTACAGGGCACTTCAAGTCTTTTATGAAGCCGAAAACAAAAATGATAAAAATCAAGTTCAAATGCATTTTGTAGTATACAATTTTTCAGGAAACCATGTAGTGTGCATCATAAAATAGATTAGGCAAGTTCTAGACCAGTGGTTCCAGAACCAGTCCTTATGGCTCACTAACAATCCAGGATTTATGTATTTTCCTGTTTTATTCCAACAGAGGTTTGACAAAATCTGCACTGTTGGGTCTTGAGGATTGGTTTGGGAACACTGGTCTAGACAGATCTCTTTATGCAAGAGGTCACGGGACAACAAACAACTCAAAGTCAGATATCTGGGAGTAAAAAGGGGAGAAAATAAATAGACAGGCCAGCACAAATTCATGCAACAAAATTGCTATTGAAATTTAGTTGAGGTCTTCACATATAGTGTGTTAAGTATAAAAAAAAATAACCTCCCCATTAGAGCGTGAAAATGTATCCCTGGATAAAGGAAATCCAGCCCCGGAGGGTATATTTGCAAGGGCGAGTTTAGACCATTTTAGACTACTATACTTTTCAGTCAACTTTTTTTTTCCTTAAAAAATGTTTTTATTATAATCAATCTTACCTATAATCTAGAGCCTTGAGAATCTCCCCACTGCAACAGATCCTCCAAGCTTCACAAGCTTCTGTGTCCAAATCAGATGCTTCTCAGAGAAGCATTGAGTTTCCAGGATGCATGTGCAGAAATCCCTTGGAATTTCCAATTTAATGCTTCTCTATGAAGCACTGACCGCACAAAGCATCTGGTAGAAACATACTGAATCGATTAGAATCAGAAATTGCATGGGCATGTAAAAGTATGTTGGAAGGCCTTAGTAGCTGTGACAGTAACTAGTAAGCATGGATATTGCAAAATATATACAGTGCAGTGTTTCAAAAACAAAACTGTTTTCAACAGCACAATTACAGGGGCAGCAGCTTTGACCCAAAAATACTCCATTAGAACAGTTTGACATCTTTCCTGGGGCTGCTGGGCGCTGCTCGCCACTTCCACTACTTCCAATAGAGAGCTGGAACCTACTAAGTAGGAGCTTACTTTAGCTCTTCTAAGCTACACCCAGAAATGCAGGGCTAGCTCATTGGCTGAACGTGTCAGCTGATCGCTCTCAGACAGTGAGACACCAGGTAAGAATTTAAACTGTTCACAACTGAAACCATAACTATAATGCACTGAAATGGTAATGGTGCTTTGAGTTTTGCTTTAAAGAGAAGCAGTAATATGAGAATAATATCATGGAATTGTCATGGCTCCCCGCAATTCTACCGGCGTGGCCGCACTGTAACATAGAGACTATGCCGACAGAAAAATCTTATACTTACCTTGGTCGCGGCAAACCGCTGCCCGACCTACTTCTATTCCAGTCCCCAGCGAGTACGGCGTTCCTAGAAATGCCGCCCGCTGTGGTTATGGTTTTAAGAGGAGACTTACCTCTGCCCACATCAAAGATGGCGCCAACATGCGCGCGACGTCAGATGCGCACGCACATTTTGGGGTTTGAGGTCAGAGACAGCCAATTACAGCCCAAGGAGGGTTATTTAAACCCAAATTACCTTTTTGTCAGTGCCCTGTCGTGGTTTCCACTAGCTGGTTATCCGAGAGTGTTCCTGATTGCGTTTTTCTTGTATTTGACTTTGGCTTCGTTTTGACTTTCCTAATTTCTGGTATCCTTGACTGCTGGCTTTCCTCATTGTTGTGTCTCTTTCTGTGTACCTGACCTCGGCAAGTATTTTGACTATTCTCAGGTACGTTAAGTCCGGCCATTCTAAGGTCCGGTTAGACATTATCCTTAGTCCTAGGTTTGATACTATTCTGCGTGCTGGATCAACTATAATCCTGGAAGGAATTTAGCACATAAAAAGTACTTTTTTTTTGTTTTATTAAGAATGGCTCCGATTAAGGTTACACATAAATTGGATTAAAGGGACATTATAGTCACCAAAACCACTACAGTTTAAATGTAGTGGTTCTGGTGTCTATATGTCCCTGCATGTCTGTAAACACTGCCTTTTCAGAGATGATTTGATTTAATGCATCTCTATGGGATGCTGACTGGCACATCGTTTTGCAGCATTTGCGCAATAGCCCCCTATTGATTTCCTATGGGAAAGCAATGGATTGACAGAGTTCCTCAAAGCTGATTATCTCAGCCATAGAGTCAGAACCAGCTGCGGCAAGGGAGAAGAGGTAAGTAAAATAACTCTATAGAGAGGGTGCCAGAACCTAAACATGAACTCCAGAACTATGTTAGAAATACAAGTTTGTATTTCTGGCACTATAGTGTTCCTTTAAAGAAGCTACTCACCAACATCACCTTCTGCTATCTGAAAAGCAGCAGTTTAAGCATTTTATGCTTATTAACATCCCACAATTACCCTTTCTTAAAGTATGCATCAGCAAGAAGTCTCTAGTAAGTCTACATAGACTCATTAAGGACAAACCAGCTGAAGAAATGTTTGAAGTCATTAATTACTGTAAAACTCCAAATCATCTAAAACCCCCCACCCTCGTATTTTTTTCATATTTTTTCATATTTTGGGGAGTTGGATATTCGTATTCTTTTCAGAACAGCTTGACTAGTTTACATAAATGAACTCTTCCATATCCCTTATACAGACTGCTGCAATAGGAATGATATATAACAGCTGGGACAAAGATTTCACAAACAAATTAATTGAATATTATCTGATGCCCAT